TGCTATTAGTATATTGTCACCATTTCAGCAGTTGAAGACACTCCAAGCAAACCACATTTGTCTCAAATCTGCGGTTGGTTTGTGCACTGCATGAACTGCAAGGGTACCTTAGGAAGGCAGTTCATTCTCCAAGGCTTCTCCTTGGGAATGGAGTAGGCTGACATCCACAATCACCTACTGGTGGTCAGTAATGCAAGTTTCTGCCAAGCTCTGGGCAGAATCACCATGAGTGGAAAAGCCTAGATCTCATGTGGCCCCGACATTAGAAAGCTGTATCATGTCCTAAACCCACAGCCCACCAAGAATAGTGGAGAACTGGAGTAGGAATGAGGCTGACACTTCTAAGTTGTACTTGTGGCCAAGGATTGCTACAACCAGCCACACATGATGCTGGCCCAAATAGAGGTCTGATAGACTGGGTCAGTGTAACTTCCTGGCATCAAGTCTGTTCTAGAGTTTCTGCACCTGAACAGTGACCTGAGGACAGAGACTATTAAGATCTGCCAGTAGGTTTCATTATCACTGCATCCCAAGCAAAGTCTTGTGCTTCTCACCCTGCCCTACCCCATAAACCGCACCACACTAAGCTGTCTAAGGTCGAGATGGCTTCGGTGAAGGCAGGCCCTTGGCCAACAAGGCTGACACTAAAGTGGATTGTGCCTGACCCTCACAGCCACAGGAGCCTGTCCAGTTTTGGTGGAGGAGTGTCCCAGGCCCATTCCAGTGACAACGGAGTGGGGCAAACTGAAGTCTGTGTCTCCCAGGCACAGCCTCTACCTGAGGCCAGGTCAGGAGACTCCACTTGTAGTCTGTGGCCTGAGTACAAGGCCTTTGGTTGTGTCTCACCATGTTGGGCCCATTTCTGAGCTCTAAGATTTTGTGTCTTGTGCATCAGTAAGGAGGTCTTGCTCCCTTTTCTGCCATCTAAATTTGGGAGAGGAGGGGTAGAGGCTGCCAACTGCTGGATATTACTGGTTTTTCATTTCACGGGTATTGGGCTAGGACTGGGGACTGTGGAGCTCTTCCCAGCTTTAGATTTCAGGGTGGAGGGCCTCATACTGGATTTCCAGTCTTAAGCTTGGACTTAATATTCATGCTTTCCTCCAAGTAGAAGAAATCTCTTAGCTTCATGGGCTACTTGGAGTTGGGGGTGGGTTGATATGAACAACTTTTTCTTTCCTGCCTTTTTCAACAAGTCTTTCATTTTATTACTCTGATCCTGGGCACTCGAGTCTCTCACATGGCTTCCTTAGTTCTTGTGAAGGGAGTTTGGTGATAAGTAGCTATTCCTACTCTGTGTCTCCGGAAAGAGGAATTTACCCAGCGTCCTTTATACCTCTCCATATTTTTATCAAGATAATTTTATGTATGAGAGACTAATGAGGAAAAGAGAATGGAAGGCAAGATATCAGGTAAGAAACTAAAACAATGTTTCAAGGAAAAGTTTTAAATTCCTTTCTATTATCAGCATTCTTCAGAGGAACAGATTCAATGGAAAATCCATGTATAATCATGTAGGGGATTTAACAGGTAGGCCTGGAGGATCAGAGGCAGGGGAACCCACAGTGGCTGTGTACATTCTATGGAGCCAGGGAATCCAGCAGCTGCTCAACCCAAGCTGTAAGCTGTAAATAAGGGTGATCAAGAATGCAGCATCAGTCCAAGGCCTGGAATCCCCCAGAGTGTTGGCAGTATGAGGTTGTCCTGTTGGAAGATTCAAGAAACCAGAAACCTGGAGACCTCTGTCCAGAGCTGTTGGCAGCAGAATCCTTCTGCTCAGCAGGACCCGAGCTCTTGGAAATGGACACACTTCCTTCTTCTTTTCTGTTTTATTCCATCCAGGTTTCAAGACTATTGGTCATTGCCATCCACATCTGGGTGGGGCTTCCCCTCTGTTTCCCAGTCTACATGTCAGTCATCAACATACTCACCGGAAACTGTGCTCTGCTAAACTGCTAGACATTTTAATCCATTCAAGTGGGCATATTATTACTAACAGTCACAGTTCTGAACAATAAAAGTTATGATGGAGAAGTAGGGATTTATCTGAAAACTAGTAAATTCAACAGGATTTGTAGAGGATTTAACTTTGAAATCAAGGGAAAAGAGGACTCATTCTAATTGCTATTATTTTTGAGTGTGCCTCTCAGTAAAATTCTTCAAAAAGTAAAAAGAAAAAATCTTTGGAAAGTTGAGAAGGGAAGAATTACACTATTTTTTCTCTGACTTTGAAGGACTGAAAGAATTCCTGAGAGAAACACGGAAGGAAAATTCCAGGCCAGAAACATGATTGAATAGACATGAGAAATGAAGAGACATGAGAAATGAGTACACATGAGAAATGCACATGAAAAGAAAAATAAATGCAAAAAATGCAAAAGATAAATTCGGCAGAGATATGCTCAGAGACAAATATACTTTGGGTTTTTTTTGGTACCAGGGATTGAACTCGGGACTTTGCACTTGTGAGGCAGGCAGCAGAACCACTGAGCTAAATCCCCAGCCCAAAAAATATACTTTTCAACCAAAAAGTATGCCCAAAATTTAGGAGTATAAGAAATGTTACCAGAATTATTCCATCTAGTAAAGAACAAATATAAAGGATATGTCACCCTATGTATAACACATTTACACAAACATAAGTGATGTACTCCTTTTGTATATTGCAACTATTTTTGCCAAAATAGCTAATCATAATTACTGTATAGAAAGTAAGTTATCTTAGTTACATTTCTCATTGCTAAGACAAAATAGTTGACACCCAGAACTCTAAGGAGGAAAGGTTTATTTAGCTCACGGTTTGTAGAGGTTCCAGTCCATAGTCATCTGGCCCCAAGGCAGGGTAGCATGGCAGCGGGTAATTGCAGAGGAGAAACAGTCCATGGCAGGACAGGCAGCAGGCAGCAACAAGCAGGCAGAAAAGCACCAGCAAGCCTCCCTTTTCCTTTTATCAATGATCCAGGCTACAAACCTTTTGGGTGGTGCCACCCACACCCAGCATGGGCCTTCCCATTGTCCACACCCAGAACTATGCTAAACCAATCCCTGGGCTAATTTAGTTATCACACCCTTAATCCCCTTGTCACAACCCCTAGATCCAGCCACCACTGAAAAGCCCCAGCTAGGAGCACGTGAGGCTTTGGCAGGACCTCTAGACATAGCCACAACATAAGTCTGATGAATTCTCAGGTACTGTCAAGCACATAGAGTAAATGATAGTGCCCTGGCTATAGAAAGAATGGTGAGTGGTGCCTTGATAATGTGCAGCTGAGTAAATATAGGACATGTGGCTGACGAGATCATCACAGATCCTCCAATTCAGTGCAGTCTTGGAAAGTTTAGGATGAAATATCAGCTATTGTATTATTATCACAGAGCTAGCCAGGTGCTCTGTCATCTTTATTCTGTGCTGCCACACCTGGGATAATAATGATATGAAGTGGATCGCATGGCCCCCTTTCAGCCCTCGTCAGCACTCTTGAATGTCTTTGAAGAAGAATCAATTAAGTGTATGTGGACTAGTTTTGAGATGAGGGTTTACTGGTACATGGAAAATAATGCATTTACATAGGCCCGACTCCTTTACTAAGAGCTCTTAGGGGAAAAAAGGTTCATTTATATGTCTAATTGACTATGAAACACTAAACTTTGGATTTATATTAGTTTGCTTGGACTGGAAGATACTTCAGACTGGAGTAAACACAAGATATTTATTTTCTGAATGCTGTGGAAAATACAATGATTGAGTTCTGAGTGCTGCTTCTCTTCCTGACTTTCAGGTGCAGCTTTCTTACTCAGTCCTCATATTTCTTTGTCTCTGCCCCCCACCCCCACCATGTGTGTGTGTTTGTGTGTATCAACTAAATTAAGCACTCTGTGCCATGTCTTCCTCTTCTTACAGGGACAATTAGAGTCCTACCCGTAGGACCTCAATTAATTTTTAATGACTTCATTAAAGGGCCTATCTCCAAAGACAGTCACATTGGAGAGAGGAACACAGGAGCTCCAACAGAGCACAGTTCACTCTGTCACAGGTTCTGTTTCATACACAGCTTTCTCATGACAACACAGGCAGTGTCAGGGATTAGTACTGAAGCTCTCTTTCTGTATGACCTTTTACATAAAACTCTGGATAAAAGAAAGACTCTGTCACAATTAAAATATGTTTATGAATTTCCTCTATTGCCTTGGGATAGGTAGTGTGTTGAGATGTGCTAATTTATGTTATTTATTCAAACCATGCATAATTATTGATTTGTATTGATTCTAATAAAAAAGGCAAAGAGATAACAGCAATTACAGGTTGTATGCAATGAGATAGCAATAATGTGTTGTGTTTGGGATACTAATCTTAACTTTCTAAGTACTTACAACTGAGTCTGCATTTCTACAAGCAGTCATAAAAAAGTCCATGGTGTGGACATACATTCGCCGGAAATAAATAATGCGTTCTCCTTTTTTAGGGATTCCTGTTGTTTTTTTGTTGTTGTTAGGAAATACCTTTGGAAACATTTATTAACATGTCAATTCAAAGTAACCTGCAATTATTAATGGATTTTTAACATTTACTTGTTTATAAATCTGTTTATTTCACAATATACCAGATAATTAAAAGGCTTAATGGGAAGCAGTGAGATCTTTCTTGAATAGAAGAGGAGCAAGAGATGGGGAGAGGGAAGAAAGGGCAAAAAGATTGAAAAAGAAGAATCAAAGGAAAATATAGATATATCACTTTTTCTAATAGGAAAATTAGGAGTTCTTAGGAACAAGGAGGTATAGGAGGAGAAGGAGACAAAAAATGAATTAAGATGTATTGTGCACATGTACAAATTCTCCACAATAAATGTATTCATTATGTACTGCAAAGGTGTACTAGTAAAATACATTAATAAAATAAAAAATTTTAAAACCTAAACAAGCTAGAAAATATCTACTTTAAAAGACATTTCATTTGCATGTGCTCTTCTTACCTGTGCAATGTTCCTTGCCTATAATTCCAGAGGCTTTTGACTATTGCTGTAAGAAGACTGTGAGTTCAAGGCCAGCCTGGGCAACATAACAAGACCCTGTATGGAAATAATGTATACCTCTAATGAATACTTTAATGACAAGAAAATAATATTTTAGTGCTACTATGTATAATTAATGTTGCTAATAAATTTTTGTAATTTTTTAAGGTGAATATTCTCTTCTGGTTTGTAATTGTAGTGTTGTGGAAGTTTTGTAGCAGAGATATTAGTCCTGAAACATTGTAACTACAAACATGTTTACACACAAAGTCATAGGTGAAAACAATAAAATCCTCCATAAGCTCATCGCTTAGTAATCTACACTAATTTTTAAAAATGAAAATAGGAAAGGCATATATTTATAAAATGTAGTAAGTAAATAATTTAATTCTCCTTATCCCAAACTTGCACCCACTTTCTCTTCCACTCATAACTTCTTTAAGGATTGATGTTACATTATATTATACACAGGAGTATATAATTTGACCTATATGAAATTGCTACTTATTGACTAATAATTTTGTTACTCAAACTACTACCTGATTCTGTATTTTTGAATTTAATACTATGTTTTAGAACTCTCTTTACCAGAAAATACAAAACTGTGTTGAGATTAAAATTATTGTGCAGATTTAAATGGATTTAGTTTGATTAATGCTGTTAATAAAAATATATGGTTCATTTTGCTATTGCAGACTTTATAGATGTATTTGTATATATCTATATCTATATCAATATCTATCTTCACAGTTCAGTGCCTGGTAGTAAAATTGTTAAATCAATAGCACAAATTTTAAATTTTTATATATATTCTTAAGTTGTTTATCAAAATTGTTGTATTAGTTACATATCCACAAAATATGGTCCTTCCATATAAACACATTTTTCAAACTCAAGTATTATTTGTGACTAGAATTATATCATATTTTTAAAATTATAAGTAAAGTTGAACATTTTTTCATGTGTTTACTTATTTTTGTGCTTATGTTTCTCTTTCAATATATTGCTTGTTTGTGTATATTCTTGTTCCTTATTTTCTTCTTGATTTGTCTAACCTATTGATGAGTATAACTTCCTGGGTTAGTGTGTACATTAGGAAATTAAAAATCCACCATGGCTAAGTCCCAAAACATTCTTATGGAAAACCATTTCTTCAAAGTAATATAGTAGTCATCTCTTATCCAGAGTAAAATTGAATAAGAATAGTGGCTTTCAGCTAATTATGGCAAAGCAAATCTAATTATATATTTCTTTATTTTTTGAAATCATTAATTTAAATTTCTATGTATTTTGTAATTTTGTGATCTGTATTTAACTGTAACTGGATTGAAAATGGGTCTTATTTTTCTATTTCCTGAATATTTTAAAGTAATTTCCAAACTCCAAAGAAACATATTTTTAACTTTAATAATTTTATTTGAACTTAAATATAAAAAATCTTTCATCCTAAAAGGAAAAATTAGCAAAACAAAAGGCCATTATATCTTAAGAATTATTTTTCCCCAAATGAACTGGCTTTTAATTAGCTAAAGATGAAAAGAAAAGACAAAGAGGAATTTAATAGCATTCTTTTGACAATATTTGTCACAATTTTAAGCTGCTTCCGAAATGAAAATTATTTGTGATTTTTATGCCATATAGATCAGTATTGTACACTACAAATATATACAACTTTTACTTGACAATGTAAAAATCAAATGATGTTTTAAATGAAAATAAATTCTCTATTTTGGAAAACATTTCCGTGGATATGATGTTAATATTCTTATAGTGTTTTGTACCCCTTCTGAAGAGACACTGGGCTTTTTCATCTTCTAGAGGTCCTAGTAGCAGAACTTTAATGAGTTAACTCACGACTTTCACAAACTCAGGAAGAAAATAAAATTAGAGGAGAAGGAAATAAAGTGTAGAATTCTACACTTTCCTTTAATAACCAGGTCTTGGTGTTGGTGCTGGGAAAGACTGTGCTGATCACAGAACAACGCTGCAGACTTTAGGAAAGCAGGGCCGCTTCTCCAGACCTGGACCGATGCCCGCGGGCAGGCGGGGCACACGGACGTTGAGGAAGACTGCGGTCTGCTGGCCTCTAGCTCTGCTGCCAACACCCTAAGGGGTCCGATGGTCCTCAGTGCTGCCCACCATGGGAGACGCGCAGCCGGCGGGAAGGGAAGGGAAGGGAAGGGAAGGGAAGGCGTCCAAACCCCAGGCGAGGCTGGACAGCCTTCAGTGCAGCTCCGGGGATTGCGGAGAATCATCCTCCAAATCTGACATCCCAGGGCATCAACTCAGCCACGGAAATGGAGCTCAGATGAACACTTTTATTTTCTCTACCACAAAGGGTTTTGTAAATAACGGAAACAGTAGGAGAAAAGTCAATGTCATAGAAAAGGAAAGAGGATCACATTATAAATTCAGGAAAAGCTACTGTAATCATTCAGTGGTATTATTGTTATATACAGTATCTTATAATTAGGAAAAAGCTAACATAACAGTCTTCGTTTTCTGAAATACATTCGTATTTCATCCCACTACATTCGTAGTGGGAATTGTGCTCAGAACCCTAGCCACGACGGTAACCCCATCTTGTGGTCCAGTGCACCCCCACACACACATACCACACACACACACACCACACACTACACATCCCCCACGCACACACACACCCCACACACCCTGTGCGCTGTGAGCCACGGCAGCCCCTCACAGTGACCCCAGCAGCTGGTCGGAGCCTCCTTCTGGGGGGCGGACTCCCGAGTGCACACAGCTTTTCCCAAGTACGTTCCTCATTTTGGATCCTGCTTTTGCTATTTACATTCTCTATAAAATAAGAAGTTTAGCCAAAAGGGACTGGCAACTTTGGGGGCACTCTCCCCAAGCCATCAGCTCTGGAAGCAGCCCTGGGGAACTGGGCTCCAGTCCCAGCTGGGCCTCAGTCTCCCAGTCCTGCTCAGGGCAAAAGATGCTTCGTTTACTTCTCTGGGGAAAATGTATGCAACAATATTAAATATCATCGTTATTCTTTTGGATAGTTTGGCTTTGAAGAATATTTAATTAGTATATGCTTGCAATACATTCATTGTGGGGAGTTGGTGAATAGATGCATAGCCACTGTGACACTTTTTACTTCCTCTTTCTGTCCCCTTCTTCACATATGTCTCCTTCCATCCTCAAATAGACTTTGCAGAGATGGGAAGAGGATCTAGTTTGGCTTTTAAAAAATCTAGCAACCAGAGTAAATTAACTCTCTAAAATATTTTAAACTATTTAAATCTGCAATCTCAACTTTATATTCAAATTTATACTGGCAATTCACATTCTTTCAATTATGTTTATGAGTTAATATACTCATGCTTTATAAGAATGTATAATTATCCCTAAAACTAAAGAGAGATTAAAAAGTGAATTCTTAACATTATGAGTAAGATCTAGCAGTTTTAACTTATACATTTTTTACCTTGACTATTATAATTATCTGTTTTTGTTCTTTATCCAGCTATTTCTACTTCAAAGCAACCTAACTTGTCATGACATCCTTCTCAGAATTTCTCTGTGATTCCTTGCTTTCCTGAAAGAGAGAAATTTGTTTTGTGCTTAGCATGTTTTCTAAGATTTTCTGCCTTATGATTCTAGTCAGCCTGACATTGGCGGAAAATATGTTTCTGTTGCCTATGTCTACTGTAACTTTCACTATCTCTCTCAAATACGCTACGCACATATAACATCAAAATACTCATTGTACAATAACCTTATGATTCTGGAAATATTCCCCTGATCTCCATTTATAAATGTACCCTTGTCCATCAAATTGAAATTTAAATACCACCTCTTACAAAAAGTCTTTTTTGATCATCTCTTATTCTGTAGGAAATAGTTCATGTTCTGGGCAGCAGTACCAGCTAATATGCTGCAGTTTTATTTCATTTCCCCCTTGCACTATAATTTCTTACTTGTCTCCCTCTTTCTTTGAATCTATGTCAATTACTTTTTTTTCAATATAGATGTCTTCCGTGAATGTCAAATTCATTTTTCAGAAATGAAAATGTCAAGGAATACATGCCCTCCTCTCTAATTTGGACACTATAAAAAGTCAGGGATCACATTGTGCTCATCTTTGCCTTAATCAATAAATATACATTTGATGAATTAAAAGATAATACAAACTGCTTTGTTTTCAGCATCAAGTAAATGGAAATGGCTCTGAAAAAATTTTTACATAGAAATAAAGGTGTATGAGCTTTCATAAGCAAATTAGCACTAAAGATAGAAATCCTTTGGGATAAAAATTCATTTCAAAAGTTGCATGTTTTGCTGGACACAATTTATATCTCCAACTATTGAAAAAATGGAATTTTTAAGAGCAAGCATAATTTTGATACAATAAAACATCAAAGCAAATGTGTGCAAAGAATCAAGGTGTTATTTATCTTAAGTACTTTTATTTGGATACTACCAATTCTGGCTAGTGAATGAGAAATTAGTAGTGAGAAAAGAAAGGAGCACAAGTATACACCAGAACTTAATAAATACCAGAATGAGAGACACAGATTTTTATCTAATTAAATACTCCAAACTGAATGAATTCCAGGAACATTTGCCTAGAGGGTAATGTTTTCTGTGAATATAATCTTTGAATTACATTAAGATCTACATTAAGTTTAAAAATTTAAATTAAATATATATCTTTAGCTAATACATAAAAACATAAAGCTTTACATATTAATGGGATATAATGTAACATTTGATACGTGTATTGCATAATGTTTATATCAGTTCACACATATCTACTCAAACATTTATCATTTCTTTATGGTGAAAACAAAGTACTTTCTTATAGCTTTCTGAAATATTCAGTACATTATTATTATCTATAATCATCCTATTGTGCATAGCTCACCAGAAATTTTACCTACTCTTTATAAGCCCTCATCCGTGTATTTTTTAATAATTTTAATTTATAAATAGTTTCAACTCACATCATAGCTTCAATATATTTCTAAAGCACATACTGATTCAAACCAATTAAATCCAAATATTTACCAAGTGCCTATGAGAAGCCAGACTTTGTTTTGCAATAATATGCAAAGGTATAATAGGCACTTTTGCTTTTCAGAAGGCTGACTAACATAAACATTGTCATAAAAGAGTATGGTGAAACAGGGATGTTATTTCATAAAAAGTATTATAGGAACCATAAAGGAGGAACACTTACCTTGTGGTAGAGAGGGTTTACAGTCTGTCAGAAAGCTGGAGAGAACCTAGGCAGTTAGGAGGAGGGGAAATGGAGAAGAAACAGAAATCCTGAGCAGAAGAAGAAGTGAATAGAAGC